TCGAAGGAAATTCGGAGGCAAACGTGTTTTCAGCCCGAGAATTTTACAATTCTGTTCTTTGTGATCCATTGTGGACTTAATCATCTTTGCAACGCGCATGAAAATTAGCTAATATTCCCAGTAAACACACAGAACAAAGAAACATTTTATAGCAAGTTTCGCTAGATTGATAAATTGATTCGAAAAAATTTGCTATGCCTGAGATTTTTATGATAACACAAACAGAATTAAAGAAATAAACAATTGAAATGTGAATTATTCTGTGAAAATACACTTTTAGCTTTTAGAACTACAAAATTGCCTCGTATTAAAAAGAAGTTCTCGAAGTATAAATGAATGTTATGTTTCTTATGCAACTTTTATTATTCGAATTACATATTGGTAAATACATATTATTTTGGTTTTACGCGAATAATATAATTTTTCCGTTCGTCGATATCACATTTTTTAATTCAAGGTCATCTCAATGGCATTGAACTCATTTCAAGCACCAATTACAACCCAATGAAGTAAAAAATAAGTAGTGCTATTTAAAAAGCTACGATGACCTTGGTTCTCATACAAAAAGGTACTTTTTCGAAATTAAAACTTTAAACTTTACAAAATCGCTACTACAGTTGAACACTATTAATATGTTTTCCTAAAAAAGACTATGTACAGTTGAATAAACTTTCTATTATAAACGAATTTAAACGCAAAAGTATATTTTGTCATTCAACCAAATGAATCGTAATATAAAAATAACCATTTATCAAAATTATTAAAATATTAAGTCCGATAAAATACTTTATCGATTAAATATTTCTATCGTTATTATCAATTTTTCAACAATAAAAGAAAGCGGGCCATTCTAATAATCGTCCATCTACTTTCGTGGTCGCATGGTTGCAATGTCCGATCATAATCTCCGTGAGAGAGCGTCCTAATTCAATACGGAGGACCGCACCATCGAATAATGCACCATAAGTGTCAGGACGATTTATGCGAGCCGCGTACACGCGGGATATGACGTTTCCGTTATATGCTGGAACAAAATGGACGGGCGTGTTGCTGGTAAATGGTGTGTCAGATAGCGCGGACAATATTGCTCAGTGTTCTCGCTGGGTCCTAGAGTCACCCTCTCGTATTTAAGCGGAAGGACCTGACGTCGATTATGGCAAGGGGCTCCTCCGCTTTCGTTTCGAGCCAGACGTATTACACAGGATTTCTCGGAGACGTCACCGCGAGAATTACTCGTTACACAGGGCGTTCGTCCATAATTGTCCAAGCAAATACAAACTTTAATGGGAGAAATTTACACGAATTTAAGTCGGCTACAAGGTTTCTGTAAATTATTTTGTTTTATTTGTGACCTTTCCGAGTTTGGGAAAGTCAATTTAGTTTTTTTAAAGTAAATAATTACCATGATTTTTTCTGTATACATAGTAGGAAAACCACACGAATGCACATCAAAGTTTAATATTTGTAACTTTTAAAGTTGCAACATAATTCCAGTATTCAAAATATTAGCCAAAGTAATATTAAGACTTTTTTTCTCGATAACTTCATAAACATTCAAGTTTGAGATTCAAAGTATGTGTATATAGTTCGTATTAATTAGTTTTCGTAAAGAAACGTTAATCAATAGGAATATTAACGTTATATGTGTTACAACATTTATGAAAACCAAAATTTTAGATACGAGGAGTAATAATAGTTTCCCCTTGGTACTCTAACTCAAGAAACATTGTCGAACATTGAGTTCCTATTTGACATCCGCTTGCACTTAGGAAGAAATGACATTAAGAATGGATGCCATCCATTACGTAAGTAACTTGTTAAGTCTTTCAATTTCAACGTCATTACTGTCACGAGGGAACACGCTTGAAACGTATCGACACATCAGCGTCGTCGCATAAGAATCTGACTGGTCGGAAGATCCAATAGGAAGACTCGGATGATTGCATACTTTTAATATCTTACTTGGAATAGTGACAAGCCAATAAATAGAAATTATTCTACTCGTCTTTGTCTACATCATAAAAACGTCACGTTCCACGATTAGATTTAATTAAAGTTAAACACGATAGAACTTTTCTTATGTAAAATGTTCAAAATGTGTTTGTTCCAATTACGATTTTTATTAAATTTTATTCGTTTCTACAATTTTAAGGTCGTTGGAAATTTAGTGAATATCAGTATAAAAAATTTCGAAAAAAAGAAGCAGCATTTCTCATTAAAAATGTCCCCTTTAAAACGTTCAAAAGGTCTTTGTATCCCAATTACACAGTTTATTCCAATTTCAATTTTCATTAAATTTTATTCGTTTCGACAATTTCAAGGATATTGGAAATTTAGTGGAATGTCACTATAAAAAAGTTAATTTTTTGGCAAAAAATATCGAAACTCGTTCCTCTTTTCTTCTCACGCTACGTTCTAGCATCATTTTCCAGCTCAATGACTTTTCATCAAATAATGCTTGGCGTTCCCGTCTCCGCCATGAAGATCGAATCTTTTGTGCATCCACTTGTATTTCTTTCAGTGTGGATGCACCAATATGGCAACGTACGGGGCACACACGTTGCTGACTTTGAAACAGGTAGATCCACGTGCTGACACGTGTACGCCGACAGATACGAACTCAATTGCCCGTGCCGTGCACCACGTGCCGTGAAATTTAAGTATTTGAAAACGTCGATCTTCCTCGACTGCTGCTTGAAATTACACCGCCGCCGAGGGTCGTTTAATATACACGGGACGTGTAATATCCGACGTTGTTACTCTCCTCGAGAGGAGTAAAATGGTCGTCGTGACCGTTCGAGTCACGACCGATCCAAGTTAAGCAAGACATTTGGCAAAGAATATTTATTACTCGGTTTTTACGATTCCCCAACAGCGTGCAAAACGAAAGGATTTATGAAGCAGCGTGTCTGTCGGTGTGAAAATTTTATTTCGTAATGAAGATTGATTGGAAAACCATACAGAGTTCTGAGACTGATTTATAGTCGTAGTTTATATCAGTCTATGGTTTTATTATTGGCCTTGCCTGTGTGTATTCAACACGTTTGGAATTTATTTTGGATGGAAAGTAGTTGATGAAAATTTTTTATTATATATATTTTCAATCGAAGAAGCTATTGGAATTAAGTTGTTATAGAAAAATGAGAAAATAAAATCGTAATTCATCGTTTTGAATGAAAACAGATTTTAAAAACAGTTTTTGAATTACTAATACTTTTTCGGAGAAGAAATTAATTCCTAGATTACCCTTTAAGAATCTTTTCTAGTTAAATCAAGATGCTAAAGTGACATTAATTTTATTTTAATATTTAGTCACTTCCGCTCATTTCTAACGTTGCTGCTATCGTATTTACTCTTCATAAATCAAGCGGAAAAATAGTGTAATTTTTACACATTTATTTATATTTTACAAAATTACATAAACGATAACAGAAAATTGATCATATAAAATTCTGGAGTGACAGAATTTTCACAACTTTAAGCATCCAAGAAGGAAATACAATTTTCAAATTAAGAACTAGAATAGTTTATTACAGTGCTAGAGATTCTTTAAATTTTTCAAATATCATAAAATTGTTTAGACCTACGTAAAAAGTGAAACACAAGAATTATTAAAAGTGTTAAATAATAGGATTCGACTGAAAAGAATTGCAAATAAAATGATGCATTCTACGAATTGCATTTAATCTTTGATAATGTAAACTAACAATGAAAAAGAATTGCAAATGAAATGATGCATTAATGAATAGCATTAGTCTTTAATGAGGTTAACTTGTGAGCCTCGTAGAACAGAATTTCAAACTAACGTTTCATGCAGTGTGAGATGACGCTCGTAAATACAGTTTTATCCGAGATCCGACGTATTCCCATAAACTGTCCCTTAATTACGAATCATTTTGGAGGGACGCTGGATCGTCGAAGAGTACGTCTTTGAGCGAGGATGATCCGCAGGGTCACCCTTCGTAGATATCAAGATCGAAGATAGCCTCGGACGCATGCGTGCAACCGTTGTAAAGAACATGAGATCTTAACTGGTCGATCTCGTGACATATTCCGTTGGTCCCCCGTCCGTCTGTCCGTCCGTTCGACCGTTCGTTTTCTTGGTTCGTCCTCGGTTTGTCCGTCCGTGTCGCCCAGCGGGTGCCATCACCAGTTCTGCACCCTCGCATCCGTCAAAACGTTGACTCTTCTTTTATTACACGGCAGACCGCGTTATAAATTTCGATGAACGATGAGCCCGGCCGTTGGAAAGAAATAGTCATTCCTACCCTTTTGGTATAACCAATTACTTGTCGTGTGCGTGAGATTCCTGTCCCGGGTATCGTCAGTGAAATCGTTCGTGCCCGATCGATGATTGCTTTTTCGTCCAACGATTACCACCGCGAAACAACCACCGCACAATTATTCCCACTCGTGTTCCCGTACAAATGCAAAGAACGTTGTTTCTCTTCTCAATCATTTCTCCATTTATTTTTACCAAATTTGTGTCACGTGGAAGCAATTCGAATTCTAAATAACAAAAGTGGCTCTCAACTAACATTTATTAATTGTAAATACTACTAAGTAGAGTTAACGACAGATTAGATCGTATAAGAATTTCTATCGACGTGACGACAACTTCTGCATTCGCCACCAGAGGACTACGCTTAACCTGCCGCTCTCTCACAAGTGCTCGACCAAGTATCTATTCTTATGGTTTATTTACCGATGAGTTTATTACTACAAATCATTAACATCGAGTGGGAGAGCACATTTCTGTTTAATAAATTACGTAAATACCTCGATTAGAAGTAAACATATCACTGTATTTTCGATTTGAATCCTCTGCCTTAAACGCCTGTTTAAATTCTTGTTTAATAAAATTGTGTAAATATAACAAAATTATTTAACTGAACGAGTAAAAGTTGTTGCGTTATTATCTGGTTCCAGGACTTCTTTCTACAACAGAGCCTTGCTCGCGCGACAGAATAAAAATTTGCCCCGATTTCCGGCTGTTTCAGGTCTCGAGTCTCAAGTCCAGGATTCGAAGGACCTCTACTGGTTCTAGAAGCGAGTTTCGGAGCCTCGTTGGCCGAACTGATTCGCAGCATCCGCGGTGAACACGAGCTCGAGAAACCGTACACGCGACAAGTCGTTGCTCTTCTCGCCAGGTCGCGAGTGACGAACGTGGAAGAGGTACGATGAGCACCGTGGTACGAAGCGACAAAATGGCGTACGCGATGCTCGAAGGGGCACCGAGAGGAGAGGGACAAGAGTACTTAGACGACGTAACGTGATATTAGCGTGCTAGGGGATCGGTTTGCTACGGGGTCGGAGCACACGGCGAGGAGGAACTTTGTTATATAACGGCCGGACTGAACGCGTCGCCCCATCGCGATCGTTCTCGCCGAGTCGAGCAAGTGTACATAGTGTTACCTAATTACTTTAAGGATCTACTATTAGCGTACAACTCAGATAGTATTAGAGGTATACTTTGCGCGCACTATTACCTTCATGGTGACTGACGTCCGACCGGCCGCTGAAAGAGAAACGAGAGAGAGCCTCTAGTTCGTATAGAGTGTTAGGGGGTGTTAGGCCACTCGAAGGTGCGCCTAAATTTTCCAAATAATTACGAGAACGCGGACGTAGAGTCGATCGATCCGGTCCTCGCGTGCCAGAACGATACGTCCACTCCGGCGACCGCGTAACAACAGAGCCCGGGTATATAGAAACAAAGATGGCGGTCCATGTTCCTTGAATGATATTACCGACCGTGCAGAGTGTATTTTCTTTTATCGCAAGGATTTATTAATTAAACGTACCGTGATATAGCTAACTTATTGAAGGACGGAGGAACCGATCGAGGGACTTGATTATTTGGCGAATTTAGTTGCAGACTTAAGTGAAATATTTATTGACCAATGATCTTGCCATGTATACATATATATATATATATATATATATTATAAATAAATAAAGATATATATATATGTATTACTATTATTATTATTATTATTATTATTATTCTATTATTATTATTATTCTATTATTCTATTATTATTCTATTATTATTATTATTATTATTATTATTAATATTATTATTATTATTGTATCATAACACCGGGCGCTGCAGAAATTCTGAAATCTCTCCGAGTCAGCAAATTAAAATAGTTATTACTCGAAACGTCACAATTATTCTTTACATCCCTCCCTAAATAGAATTAAATATCTGTCGTTAACACGCACGCACACCCGTCATTTTGCCTAGCGGATTACTCTACCTTAAGCGCATCGTATCCATCTCATGTTATCGTCATCATAGGTGTTAAATAAATGATGCATTAATATTACACCCTTGCGTTTTCTGATCACAACTTTCACCCGTCGATCTTGTTGTCCTACCTACGCGATAGTTCCAGCGAAAAGGTAAGCGTTGTTTTTATTTTTATTTTATCCTTAATGAGGTTTCGCTTTTTAATTGCATTTAGAAAATTTAAGAACATTTTTACGCCATTTTCTTCAAAACAGTTTTACTCGAACCGATGTTAACAAAATATTGAGTAATAATCAATTTGAAATTTAAATTTTACTTCTTCAGACATAACTTAACCTGAATAACAAATTTTGTAAATTCTTTTGCAAGTGGATCAAAAAGAAATTTTGTTGTTCTTTAACAGATAATAAATAAAAGACATTGTATAGCGATTTAATTTTAATTCATATGCCATTGAGCAATTTTTTGAAAAATAAGTTTTTACTTATTCAATTTAAAATTTAATTTCATGTTATAATTTACATTACAACTTTCAATGTACAAATAACGGATCACTAGTTCATCTGTCATTTGTTATTCAAAATTTTTATCCAGATAAGGAATTTACACAGCTGTGGTATTAAGAGCAACAATACGCAGGTGTTCAGATTTTGGTTATTTTGATTTCTGATTATTTTTAAACCGTACATCGAAATGTACTTATTTGTCTGTATATTTTGCATTTCTTTATTTATTTTTAAAATTACTTCCAACAAAAAAATCGAAGTTTCTGTGCTTTCGAAAGTACAAATCTACAGTTTCAAATTATATTTCTTCGAACAGACACTTCCAGCGAAGGATGATTCAACAATTATGACGACATCAAATATGGATGTGCGTAGTGTTTTGCTTCCAAAGACACAGCATGGTGCAGCAGGGGAATGCAATTGCTTTCAGAACGATGACAGATGACCATAGATCATCGAACATATGTTCTGCTTCACTGATAAGTTAATAAATTAAAGTTTCAAAATGCGTAATATTTTCTTATATTCTAATAAATGATATAGAAAATAAATTATATTTAACTTTCGACATTTTTGTTTCGATGTTGATCTTCTCCCTGAAAATATATAATTCTATAAATAATTATATCAGGTAATGTGCATTGTAAAAGTTGAGTCGAGTTTATATATTACAAACAGAGTATTTTAAAATTTAATTTATTCCAGTGATACCTATCTTTCTCTCTTCCTGTTCTTATCCATTTAATTTCTAAGTTTTCCTAATTAATATACGTATGTTTCGAGTGTTAAAAGTAGTTGTTTATAATTTCTATACATTTAGTTTAAAATAGCTAAACAACATATTTGAAATTATAGCTCACTGGTCGTATTTGTATTAATTATTATCTATTACCTATACACATTTCATGCATCATAAATATGGCTAAATATTATTTTTTATAGTAATGTTATAAAGATTAGATATTAAATGAAATTGATTGCATTCTATTTGTTTACTAGGTTAATAATCGTAAAAAAAGTTTCAATTGCTACTCTTGTTAATAAAAATACTAAATATTTTGCTAGAGACAACCCCGGTTTATGATAAGAAATTTTCGGAATAAAATGATGTTAAAATCTCTTATATACAAGGTGTTCGAACATTTTTTTTTTCATCGTAAAACTTCCCACCTTCTCGAATTTTTTTCTAGAAAGTGGGTAGGATTTCGGGGGTATGTCTATTCACCAAAAATGATTGTAATTGACCCCCTCAACCAAAAATAATTTTTCCAGAACGATTTGAAATTTTTTAATTTAATTGTTAATAACTTTTTAATGAAGCCTCAGTCAAGAAATTGATATTCTTGATCTTCATCTTATTTTGGCCTCTAGAATCTCCCATTAAAATTTTTCCCAGGGTTGGCCGAACATCCTGTATAATAGAATTTGAATAAAGTATTGAATGTAATTACTAGACTGCGGATCTTTATGCAAATTCACATTTTTATTAATAAAATTAATGAAACGGAAGCTTCGCAGAGGGCTGTCTCAACCCCTAAATATAATAATTCGTATCTTACTTTAAGTATTTCTTATATTTTTGCATATTAAATGCATTCTGTAGTTTTTTGAGGATTAAAATTTCCCATAAATGCATAAACATCCGCAGTCTAGTAATTACATTTGTGTTCATCGCCACGTTTCCAAGTCTTTTCGAGCAACTTGTTTTCCCGCGATCATTTTCTACAGCAAAAACATGAGAAACACGCAATATCCCGCGATCACGGTCCACTGTATCTGCGATTATATTAATAATATGGAGATTCGAGAGATAAGTTGAAAACAGAACTGGAGCATATCTGGCTGAGAAAATAGAATTTTATGCTTTTGCGGTTCGTTACACCGCTGCTGGTTAATTACACACGGTTGAATTTAGTGGCCCCACTGAGGCCCCGGAAAGTTAATCGAGCACGTAATAAGAGGAAATAATGGGGAATTTAATCTTCTGGAATTCTACGTGGAACTTTCGGTTTCGTTCGACCCGCAGACGCATTTACTGCGCTTAACCCGTTTAACCAATTCCTGTTCGAACGAGGAACTTTTCCTGGGCGACTTTGTTATTATTTGAAACTAGAAATCAGTATGATTCACTAGCGGATTAGTAGCGTATTAAAATAGAAACTAGTCAGCCGTGATATATCGAACGATTTATCATTTATAATTGGTAAAGTGGGTAGCAGTAATTTTTTTTTTCAATTTTCGAGAAATAGCGAAATTGTAATAATAATTTAGTTAATGGAATCAGTGTTTTAAATATTTCCTTTGTGTCGTGTAATTTTGTTCATTCGAAAGGAACATTCATAATACGACTGGCGGAATTTAATTTTAAGTGGAATTTTGAATGCTTGTGAGATACGTGTATGCTTGTGAAATTGTGGTCCTAATTGGTCAGTGTCTAAAAAATTTCTGGCTTAAAATAATTCTAGTTGAAAAAGTTTGCGCCTTTTACATTAACAATATCGAAGTTGTTTTTTTGTTAATTGCAAGAATTATAATTACAAAATGTACTTGTTTGAAGCTTCAAATAAACATACAATTTTACCACTAAACATGCACATATGATAGTAGCATAAAATTAAACGTAAGACTTGTAAGTGAGATTTCAATTTTTAAATACCAAACTAATATTTCGAGTATACGCCCAGTAATATGTTTCATTTTCAAGAAATGAAATTCTCAGATACAGGATTTCATTCCAATCGAGAAAATACTTTTATCGTACATAACTTTGTTAACGGAAAAAATTTTAATAGTAAAACAAAAATCATAATCTTTTATCTCTCGTACATACTTTTATTTAAGATTCAAGATTAACTTACTTACGTTTTATATTATGTAAATTTCAACGTTTACGTTACACATTTTGCGTTTCCATATTAATGAATTAAGTGAAACCAAAATTTTTGTGCTTTCTATAATTAAAACTCTGATTTATCCAAATTTGTCAGAAGACTATTGTGGTCATCGTGCTCCGAATTGTATTTTGCTGCAGTGATTGCTTAACAAATCGAAGTTTTGAAGTGTGCAATAATTTGTGGGACTCTCGGATAGTATTTTCCAAGAAAAACACGTGTAAAGATAGATCTAATATTCGAAATACGGTCCGAAGACATGTGTCTCGATCGGTGAACGATTTCCTTTACATGTGCTCCTGTTTCCTACGTCACCGACTTGTTCCTGTCAGGGCAACGTTAACGAGATGAGAAAATGAGCAATTAACTTCGTCACCTAGGGGGAAAACGTCGTTCCTAGGATTCGTACGATCGTTGTTATCACGTGTAAGACACGTGTAGACTGATTGGCCGTGCCACGAATGTAAATGGACCGAAGGCCAAGGTGGCGGAGAAATTTTAACGAGATCCCGCCACTTTTCGTGAAAGAATAATGGCGATTCGGTACAATGACTTTGACGGAATTAAAAGAAACAGAGATTAATGAAACGTGTTAATAATTTAGAGTGAAGTCAGTATAGGTTGATATTTTTTATACTGATAACATTACGTTAAATTATTGTCAAACTTCTACAATTTATTATTTGCAAGCAATCGTATTTAAACATGTAATGTACTAGGTTGGAATTTTTGACAAATTTTAAATAATAAGTAATGGTAACTAATTTGAACGATTTTAATACTATAAGTAAGATTTTATAATTGTACATAGCTTTATTCTTTTTAAAATTTTCTAAACTAAGATATAAGGTATGTTACCATGACATTTGATATCGAAACTCAGTAACTTTACACTGACCCGAGTGTAGGATAATTATTTTAAAAGGGGGACAAAATTTTGGAGATATAAATACATCCACAGTCACTTGAAATAAAGTATAGTCGCCGTACTTATAACGAGTCGACCGTCGAACATAGAAAAGGACAGCGACTAAAAGAGAAAGTCGAGCAGTCTAGAGCGCAAAGGGGAATCTCGCCTCAGTGGTGGGGATGAACGCCGTGCATTCACGCGGTAGATAAATCCGTGCATATACCGATCGTTCGCTGTACGTATCGTACAAGATATCGCTACTCATATTTTTTTCGTATAATTGTTTAAGAACCGTCAAAAAATCGCTTG